CAGCGACCTGGTAGTTCGAAATAAAGCCCTAGTTCGAACTACCTGTTATTCCTCCTGGAATGAGGTTTAACAGGTAGTTCAATTTAGGGCTTTATTTCGAACTACCGGGTCCCTGCCACGTGTAGACGCGGGCAGTTCATCTGGGCTTGTAAATTTCAAAAATGGTGACCAGCCGGGAACATGCAAATCAAGCACGGGATATTTAAATCCTGGGCTTGATTTGCAACTTCGAATGCCTACATTAGCCTCCCTAGTTCGAACTAGGGGGCTAGTGTAGACATACCCCTAGAGATGAAGTGCTACAGCAGGCGAGATATTGCCTTTTGTTTCTGAGGAGACCATCTGACGTGGCTGCAGCTGGGGGCAGGCGTCAGCTGTGTTCGGCGAAAAGTGTATGGAGCACGAGGCAGTTTGTTCTCCAGCTACATTTCTGAGCCTTCAATCAGAGCTCGAATTAGTTCTGCGTGTGGGGCCAAATGGACAGCAGTCCCTAGATGGGCAGAAGCCTAGAAGATACAGGGAGCTCCTTCCTGCCTTGCATTTCTCTGCAGAAGGCCTGCGTGATATGCTAGCTGCACTGCCTGAGCAGGGGGTGGACGGATGCTAATGTTGCCAGCAACAATTCATGACCCAGATGTGTCTGGCAAGGAGGGGACTTGGCCATCATTCTACTGCCCTGCAATGTTCCCACACATGGGGCAGCATCTGGTAGCCAGACTGGGATGGGTGTATGACGTTCAAAAGGGACTGTTGATGACTGCGCTCCCCCGGGACAAATGGAAGCCTTATTTCTCTCTGCCTCCAGAGGCAGATGACCTTGCAATGTCGAGAGGTCCTGGTGACTTTGTCAAGCAGAAATCTCTTTGAGATGGGGGTGGAGGGACGGGAGGCATCCTTCAGAAGTCTCCCAGCTACGACAAAAGGGAGTGAAGTTGCCTGGAAGTTTGTACTGAGCTGGAGGAGGGCTTTTGCGGGCGTGTATGTGTATGTGTATGTGCACAAGAGAGAGATGGGAGGTGGGAACACACAAGGGGGCAGAGAGGCAGGCCAGAGGCAAAAAGCAAGAAACCCAAGCAGCAGCCATTGGGCATAATGTGACCGGGCCGGGGGTGGAACACACAAGGGGGCAGAGAGGCAGGCCAGAGGCAAAAAGCAAGAAACCCAAGCAGCAGCCATTGGGCATAATGTGACCCCCAAAAAGCTGGAGAGGAAGCGTGTCTTGGCTAATCTGCCTGTGATTAGTTTCTGCAGAGCAGACTGCCAGCATCGTCTTTGGTGGGAGGCCCAGGCAGCCAACTGACCGGGGTGAGGTCTGATCTCTGGGGACTGGGAGAAACCTGATGTGCTGTGATTTTAGGGTTGTGATCTTTTATTACAAAATTCAGTTTGGGTGGCAAGACAAACAGGGTAGTGCCAGGGGATGGTCTGTGCCTCCCTGTAATACTGGATAGCGTTCCAGGAGCTCACGTTTGGTACCGGCTCGGTGAAATTGATACAGTCATAGAACTGCAAGGACTCTCGAGAGGTCACCCTTTCTCCCCAAGCACCAGCACCGTTCTAGACAATCTCTGACAGGTGTGTGACCAACCTGCTCTTAAATATCTCCACAACCTCCCCAGGCAACTTATTCCAGTGTTTGACCACCCTGACAGGCAGGAAGTTCTTCCTAATGGCCACTCTAAACCTCTCCTGTCACAATTTAAGCCCATTGCTTCTTGTGCTATCATCCTTGTAACACCCTTAATTGTAGACCCCACCACCAGTCTGGGGAGCCTGCCCTGTTTTCTGACAGTCTGCACTCACAGCTGCAAGCCATGCCAAACCGCATGACACCCATCTGAATGTGAACAAGATCAGGAAACATGTCTTGCTGCCTCCAGTGGTTTCTGTTGTTGCCAGCTGACTCTTTTCTCCAAGACAAGGGAAGAGGGCTCTGTTCTTTGGGGGGAGAGAGTGAGTGTGTGCGTGTGCATCTGTGACCCTGAGCCTCCTCTCTCTGCTTTCTCCATAGGGCAAATTCACTACAGCCAGTGATGTTTGGGCTTTTGGGGTGACACTGTGGGAGACCTTCACTTTTTGCCGAGAGCAGCCGTATTCCCAGCTCTCAGATGAACAGGTCATTGAGAATACCGGAGAATTCTTCAGGGATCAGGGGCGGCAGGTAGGAAAAATGTGGGGAAATACATCCAAGGAAGGGATGTAAAATAACTGATTCAGGGCAGGGTCGGTGGCGGGTGGGTGGGGGAAGATTCCATCTCCATCAAAAGCTTTAGCAGAAAAGCTCCATAAACTTGTACTTTCCCATGTGAACAGAAATAGCGTTAGGCTGAGAATTCAGCATCTAGGTCAGTCTCACTGTAAAGGTGGAAGATGAGAGCATGGGAATGCCCGTGCAGATTCCTGCAGCTCTGCAGCCCTCTCTGCCTGGGCTCTTTTGAGTGTGTCAAGCTGCTTGTGGTGCCTTATGCTCTGTGTGTGAGACCCGTTGCTGCATTGGGCCCGAACTCTGCGCTGTGCAGGATTGAACCCTCGCATGATCCCAACTGCTCCCCGTGTCCAGACGACAGGAGTAATTAGCTGGCTAATGAGATACCATAAAACCTTGGTATCAAGGTTTCAATTTTTTCCATCGCTGGGCAGAATAAATGTTCTGCACCACTGCGTGTGTGGATGTGCACCAGCCACCAATAGAAACACACGCTGCCACCTGTGGGCGTTCTACTAATCAGAGCTGAGTGGTACCTGACTCTCTCCTGGTGGCTGCCCACGCGCTCAGCCTACAGGTGCACTGCTCTGCATCCCATGTCCCATTTCTCTAGCCCGATACATTATGCAGTTCCCAGTAGTCTGGGACCTTGGTCTTTCACTACGATGGGGATACTGACCCCTCCATAATGAGAAATCGAGTTCCCTGGGGTGAATTTGCTCTTCTTTCAGGCTGTCTAAGGATGCCACTAACTCTCTGTCTTGTTTTGAAGACATACCTTCCCCTGCCTGCTCTCTGCCCAGATCCCATCTATAAGCTAATGCTCAGCTGCTGGAGACGAGACACGAAAGATCGCCCCTCCTTCCAGGAGATTCACCGGCTCCTCCAAGCGTCTGCCAGTGAAGAGTGACCCTTTGCTTCGCTTCCGCATCCTGCTCCTCATCCCACCCCCGAACACCCACCTAAACAAACTGAAGCAACCTCACCTGGACTCACAAGACTCTCTGCACAGTGGGTCATCTTCTACTGCACATTAAAACCCACCATGAGCAGGGGAAGAAAGTGAGAAGGAACCAAGCTAGCTCCAATGGCAAAGAGTGAACAAGGGCTATTGACAGATGCGGCATGTTCCTGTTTATCGGTGGATTCAGTCAAAGGATTCTGTTTTCCCCTTTTGGAAGGGGAAATGTAAGTCCCTGTTCTCCAGGAGGAGGGTGCCGGTGTAGGCAGTGTATGCTGGAAATGTCTGTGGACAGGCGCATGCCCCAGGACAGTGTCTGGTAAAGGGCGAGGGTGTGCCCCATGCAGGGAATGCAGTGATGCGGGTGTTGCCACGAAAGCAGAGTGGGACATGCAATTGAAGTTAACACTGACCATGTCTGGAACTTCTAGGCATCAGAGAAGCTCAGTGGATTTAGCATTTGCTGAGTCAGGGTTCCTCCTGTCCTGGCTTGGCTGCAGCCCGAAGGACAGGGAAAAGTTCTGTAGTCGAATGTGCCAGCTGCTGGGCTGGCCTGTGCATTCTGCTTAGTAGTGACTGTTGCCACTGCAAGGGGGGCATTGCTTGCTGAGGAGCACCTGGTTTATAGCATCTGCTGCAGGGTCAATGAGGAATGGCCAAGCCACCCATCTGAAGGAGAGCAGAGGTGCCCTCCTCTCACCCAGCCACAGCCTCTTGTCCCTGAGAAATGCTTTCTCCACCTGCTGTTCATGCTCTCAAGGTAGGGAAATGCCACAGCCACCAGATGAGGGGGTAGGTGCGAGCTCTGCATTTCCTGAGACTCTGTGGTAGAGAGGTTTTAGAACAAGCGTTTCATTTCAAAGGGGAACTGGTGATAACCTCCCCTTATTAAGCCCTTCACATTCTTGAGCTGTAATACGTAAAGGAACGGGATGTCGTGCTGCTCTGCATAGCCACTGGCACTGAGGGCTGCTGCTAGCACCCGCTCCTGCCTGCAGTAACCTTGAGTGCCATGATGGCATGGTTTGTTGTGGATAGGATGCAATGCTTAATTTGCCACTAATGAGAGCTCCTCTCCTACCCACCACATCTTGACAGAGGCTCCCTCAGCATGTCCCCTTCTGTTCCAGGGCTGGTCTGACCCCCAGTTGTCCTGGCCTCTCCTAGTACTGGCCACTACATGAACAATTTGGGCAGCCCTGTTTGCTCTGTCAGTTTCCAGTCAGTAGCCACAAAGAGGTTTGCTGATGTGAGACCCACAGAGTATGGACTACACCTCTGGTTCCTACTGTTATTGGCATACAGACCAAGCCTTGAAATCCAACAGAGACAGCAGTTGGTTTAATGTGCTCATGCTGAGATGCACTGTTTCCAGTGTATTATAACCGAGCAGTGACAGGGCATCCGTATGAGCGCTGGGCCTACGCTAAGTGAACAAACTATTGCAGGGACATGGGTAGTGTTAAATAGTTACCTACCTCACTTGTCCTGGCATAGTTGGCGTGTCCACAGAGCAGCTCTGTTTTCATGAGACCCGCCTTGGCTATCCCCACCCAGCTAGACTTGCAATTGTAGTAGTACCAGTTGTGATGCTGACTGGAATGGCTCTCGAATGCGAGCACCAGCCTCTGAGTGGTGTGTTACACACAAGAAACAAAGCTCCAGGTGGCTACATGTTCTGTGCTTAGATTTTATCAGCCACGTCACAAGGGTGAGCTGCTGAAGCACGGTAACAGCTTTCGCATGGAGTCACCGACAGCCCTCTGGGACACCCTGTCTGGCTCATCTGCTGATCTGTATTCAAGAGCAAGGCTTGCCAACAGAACTGACCCATTCTGACCAGCTGGAGTTCTATGTCCAGTGTTGGTCACCAGTGTCTAGAGAGGAGGCAGAGACTCTGGAAAGGATCCAGAAGTGAGTGACAAAGATGATCATAGGGATGGAAGGCAAGTCACACGAGCCAGGCTGAGGGAACCGGGTCTGTTTAGTTTGGAAAGGGGGGCTATGACAGCAGTCTGCAAGTCCTCGAAAGCTGCCATCAAAAAGTGGGAGAAGAGTTCTTCTCTCTTGCCACAGAGGGCAGGGCAGGAGGCAATAGGTTCAAACTACAGCACAGAAGAGTTAGACTGAATCTCAGGAAAAACTGAGTCCTACCGGTGAGACCAGTCAGGCCATGGAACGGGGGCCTAGGGAGGCTGTGGGAGCAACTTCTTTGGAGGTTTCAAAAGGGTGCTGAATCGTCACCTGTGATGGATGGTTTAGACCCAACAGATCCTACACCATGGTGGGGGTTCTTCTGGCTGGTCCTTTTGGTCCCTTCTAACGCTGTGGTTCTGTGACCACAGAAGATCCCAAACTATCAGGGGCTGTGACACGTGATGTTGAATTCCAACCCTTGCCACAAGTTAGAGAGTTGTGGCAAGGGTCTGGAGCCAGGTCTGGTCCCATGCTTAGATATGGAGATTTAGATTCTTGCCATTATTCCCATTCACACCAGTAAGAGGTTGGCAAATGAAATGACCGTTTTTCCCCTCTGGGGTTTCTCACAGCTTGGACCAGCTTTCCTAGAGAATAGATAAATTAAAGTCGATAATTAGGAAAACAATCCGGGTATTTCTGCCCCCAAACTGAACTCCATCATCTTAAAATTGCTGGAGAATGTCTTGATTTTAATTACGTATCATAATTAACTTGGGAGTGTGCATGTGGCTCCACTGCCCTCTGCTGCCTAGAACCAGAAATGGTTCACTATGTGTCATATACTTCACACTGCTGAAAATTAATGGAAACTCTCCAATAGGTCCCATAGCAGGAAACCTGCCTTTTCCTCCTTCCCTATCTCCCATCAATTGGTCTGAGTTCTGTTGCCATCAAACTGCAGGAGACCATAGTGAACAGCAGGGGGACAATTGTAATGTGCTAAGTAGCCATGAACTTGTTACAGGATCAACAATACACTAAGATATTTGCAAGAAATTAATATGAAACCAAAGAGACTCTGCATCAGACTGGTCTAGCCTAAGCAATGTTCGGGGCACCCTTTGCACAGCAGTCATGAAGCAGCAAATGTTGGACTCCAATCAGCACCTGTGGACCAAGACTTAAAAATCTGCTCATCCTTGGGTTCCTGACTGCATGCTGGGGCATCTACGGAAGTGGCTGCATTCCCTGCTTCACCTTTCCCCCCCAAAGCCGGAAGGGCCCAGGAGTCACTGAAATCAGTAGAACTGTTGGCTGCTGTGTAGGATGTCTCAAAATCAGATGACTTCTGTAAGCACCTAACTATAGATTTAAGGTACTAATTAGGGCTGTCAATTCTCGTAGTTAACTCAAAAATTAATCGTGATTTAAAAATTATTTATGATGAATTGTCTTTTAATCACACTGTTAAACAATAGTATACCAATTGAAATGTATTAAATATTTTGGATGTTTTTTCTACATTTTAAAATATATTGATCTCAGTTACAACACCGAACACAAAGAGCACAGTGCTCACTAGGGATGTTAAATTGCGGGTAACTGACTAATCAAATAGTCGATGCAGTTTCCATCGACTATTTGACTAGTCCAGTGTTTCCCAATTGGTGTTCACAGGTTCCGTGAAGAGCCGGCACTCCCCCGCCCTCTCTTAAAGAGACAGAGCTGCGATGGGTATCATGGCGGGGCTTGTTTTTTTTCTTTGCTCGACAAAAAGCGGTGGTGGGGCCTTTTTTTTAAGGCAACCCTAGGGGTTCCATGGCCAAATAAAATTGGGAAACGCTGGACTAGTCGATGGGGCGCCTCTGCCTCTGAAGTGTAGCAATGGCCCTAGGGCTGTTGCTGCACTTTAAAAGTGAAAGTGCTATGTGGAGCGCAGGGTCAGCTGGGGACTCCCCGCTGACTCCGGGCTCTGTGCGGTGCTGCCGCTTTGAAATGCTGCCGGGGAGCCCGGGGTCTGGACCCAGGCTCCACATGGCACTGCCACTTTGAAGTACCCTTTTTCCCCTCCCCCTTGCTGCCTCTTTCTGATAGAGGCAGCTAAGGGGGGGGAGAGCGATCAATAAGCATTTGCTTATCAGATAGTCGACTAGTCCTTTACATTCCTAATATTATTTTTATTACAAATATTTGCATTGTAATAGTGATAAAAGAAATAGTATTTTTCAATTCACCTCATACAAGTACTGAAGCCCAATCTCTATCATGAAAGTGCACCTTACAAATGCAGATTTTTTTTAATGTTACATAACTGTGCTTCCAAAACAAAATAATACCTAGAACCCACAAGTCCACTCAGTCCTCCTCCTTCAGCCAGTTGCTAAGGCACACGAGTTTGCTTACATTTACGGGAGATAATGCTGCCCATTTCTTATGTACAATGTCGCCTGAAAGTGAAAACTGGTGTTTGCATGGCACTTCTGTAGCCAGCATTGCAAGGTATGTATAGGCTAGATATGCTAAACATTTGTATATCTTAGGAGTAGGGAACCTCAGGCCTGGGGGCCAGATGCAGCCTCTAGCTTGCCTGGATCTGGCCCCCAAGCCTCAGGGCCTCCCCCAGCACTGGGTAGCCTGAACTGGCACTCCAGCCCACTGCTGCCCCACCACGGAGCTGGAGCACACAAAATCTAGTAGGCTCTGGTGTGCAAGAGAAACGTGGGGAGTGTGTTTCTCCTTCTCAGTTGGGGGCCATGTCAGGGAGGGTTGGGTTGCTGTTTTGTTTCTCACTTCTGTGCGCCCCTCGACTGATTTGTCTGTGGGTCAATGGCCTCCGACCCCCAAAAAAGTTTCCCCACCCCGGTATTTCCCTTCATGCTTCAGCCATCATTCCAAAGGACCTGCTTCCATGCTGATGAAGTGCATTTAAAAAAAAAAAGGGTTAATTAAATCTGTGACTGAACTCCTTGGGGGAGAATTGTCTCTTGCTCAGTTTTACACCCATTCTTCCAGCTATTTAATGTTACAGCAGTTTCTGATGATGACCCAGCAAATTCTCTCCCTTTTAAGAACACTGTCACTGCAGATCTGACAAAATGCAAAGAAGGTACCGATGTGAGATTTGTAAAAATAGTTACAGCACTCAACCCAAAGTTTAAGATTCAGAAGTGCCTTCCAAAATCTGAAAGAGAGGAGGTGTGAAATATGCTTTTACAACTCATAAAAGAGCAGCATTCCCATGTGCAAACTACAGACCTGAACCACCCAAAAAGAAAATCAGCGTTCTGCTGGTGGCATCTGACTCAGATGATAAAAATTATCATGCATCAGTCCAGACTCCTTTGGAGCATGATTAGCATGGACACTCTTAGGCTGTGTCCAGACTCAGGGGTTTTTTCGGGAAAAGTAGCCTTTTCCTGAAAAAACTTCCCCTGCGTCCAGACTCAAGCCGCGTTCTTTCGAAATTATTTCGAAAGAACGCGGCTTTTCTTTCGATGGCGGTAAACCTCGTTTCACGAGGAAGAACGCCTTCCTTCGAAAGTTCCTCTTTCGAAGGAAGGCGTTCTTCAATGTAAAGAGGCCGTCTTCGAAAGAGAGCATCCAGACTCGCTGGGTGCTCTCTTTCGAAAAAGCGGATTTCCCTGCAGTCTAGACATAGCGTTAGAGAAGAAACAGGTGACTCAGGAGCAGATGGGGTAAACAGAACTGCTTTATTGCCCACGCACGTTTACCTCAGACATTCAACACACCGCCCAAGTGGCAACAAAGTGGCATCAATGACACCCTTTTATCTATTTTAGTATGTTAATTCACACGTCTATTACTACTTTCCCTAAAACCTTATTTAGTAATGTTAACTCCTATACAATGAATATCCCACTATATTAATATGAAAAGTAGGTGATTAATGCAATTATACCCTCCCGTTTGTTGTTTACTGGTTTTTAATTGAATCAGTATTACATACTGTCTTAATCAGCATCTTATAGGAAGGGGGAAAGCGCTTCAACCCTGAAAATGTTTTTACAGACAAATGCGAAGACAATACAAGGCCCTGTTCAGTGCAACCATCTTCCAAGGCTGCCAGGACAAGAGGAAAAATGTGTTTAAAGGGCAATGGCAATGCCTATTCTGGCTAAACCCCTTACCCATTGATGTATAGTCATCCCAGACCTCCATTCATTTTACATATCCCAACAGATACGTCCTCTGGAATGGTGGTTGAAGCATGAAGGGACATATGAATCTGTAGCATATCTGGTATTTAAATATCTTGTGATGCTGGCTACAACAGTGCCATGAAAACGCCTGTTCTCACTTTCAGGTGACATTGTAAATAAGAATTGGGAAGTATTCTTTCTTGCAAATGTCAACAAACTTGTTTGTCTGAGCAATTGTCTAAACAGGTAGTAGGACTGAGTAGACTTGTAGGCACTGAAGTTTTATATTTTGAGTGCTACTGTTTTGTACATTAGTTCTAAATTTGTAAGTTCAACTTTCATTATAGAGTGCACTACAATTATTTGTATTAGGTGAATTGAAAAAATACTATTTATCGTGTTTTTACTCTGCAAATATTTGTAATAAAAATAATATAAAGTGAGTTTTATGCACTATGTATTCTGTATAGTAATTGAAATCAATATAGTTGAAAAAGTAGAAAACATCCAAAATATTTAAATAATGGTATTCTATTATTCTTTAAGTGTTATTAATTGTGATTAATCTTAATCACTTGACAGCCCTAATACTAACTTTAGCCTCCCAACCTTTTCATAAAAAACCTTGGCCATTGACGTTAATGGGAAAACTCTATGGCAACAAGAGTGGGCCCCAAATTGAAAAATGGTGCAATATTGATGCATTTTCAAGGAGGTAAAGAAAAGGGATTTCTGGGTTTGATAGCATAGCTAATTCTTATATGCTGTGTAGTCCCAAGATATTAGAGAGGCAAGGTGAGGTAATCTGTGATATTAACTTATCCATTTGGTCTCTTTAAATAGGTAAAGGTTAACATTCTGCCTCCCTACATTTCCTCTTCAGTTTCACATGGTTACACTCCTCCACTTCCTGACCTAAACTGTTGTGTAGTGTTGATGCAATATTGGCGGCATTCTGCCCCAGAACATGCTGCCTCTCCATGATTTACATGTGTATATAGTTTGTAAAGATGTAACTCTTTGGGTCCTTTGGGACCAAAGAGGCTATAAAAGTGTATGATATAGTAGTTGTTATTAATAATTGTTAAACTTCCTAACAACCATAGGTGCAAAATCCTCTTTTCTCATAACAGAGCAAATGCCTGTTGCATGCAGAAGATCCAGATCTACACTTCTGGCACCTTGTGTTGCTACTTACATATGTGCAATACTGTGCAAAGAGGGTGTGAAATACACCCCATGGGAGTTGGTGGCATTCTGCACATCTTTATTGACACAAGGTACACAGCAGTGGGAAAACGGGCTGTAGGGCTCCTTGATGCAGCTTGGCAATGGGTCTCAATGCTGAATTGGTGAAGCATGGGGAGCTTCATAAAGAGCTTGCCTTTCAGAGGCGTGGCGCACCTGTTGATCACTTTGACTCCTGGGGTAGTTGGGACTGATCAGCATCTCTGCAAGGCAGGCTCAGAAAGGGCACCTTGCCAAAGTCCTCTCCCAGCAGTAAGTTGCCATAGGTGTAAATCCATTTGGTGAGGTGAGGAGGAGGAGGAGAATGTAGCCCCAGATCTAAGTGATGTGGCTGGTTATTGCTCTGTGTCTGTGTTGTAAATACCAAGTTTCTCTGTTTAATGAACCTTGAAGTATGTTTTCCTGCCCTCCCCCTCTGCAGAAAGCATGACTCTGAAACAGTGTTTGAGCTGCTGCTGTGGCTAACAGGTCCTTGTGCTGTACAGCCCAGCCCTGTGCAGAGAATGTGAAATGGCATCTTCCATGCCTAGTGCTCCAGCTGCTCACAGAGTCTATCTCCAATACTCATTCCAAAACTGCACTCCCCAAGGGCTCAATATTTGGAAAGGAGACATGATACGCGTGTAGAGTTTTCTGTAGCTCCTTATTTATTCTGTGTAAGGACACCCTGCATTGTACTTATGTAAAATTATTGATTGTAAATAACAACCGTCTTTAAAAAACCCAAACTGCTGCCTGTGTTATGTCTGTGCAAACTACAGGACAGTCCAAATCACGTCTTGGTGTGTGAGTAAGTGTGTGTGTGTGTGTGGGGAGGGTGTATTCTTGTGCACTGCCCTTCACTCACTGAGACCAGTGCAGGGACCGATCCTGACTTTGAGTGAGGAGGACTGGCTGTAGCTCCATCAGCACAAACTAGCCCAAACCTTGCCTTCTGCAGGCTCTGAGTATGGCTGATCAAACAGCACTGGACAATGTGATGGCTGCTGGCATATGCTGGAGCTGGCCTTAACCAGCTAGCCTGGCTAAAAAGACCAGTGCAGCTGCTATAGTAAAGGGCTTCAGCACAGGCTGTACAAGCCCCCAGGGACTCTGGGTAGGCAGCTAAGGGCATGTTATCATGCAATTAAAACCAGTCCATGCCACCTGACTTAGGCTCATGGCATTGCCCTGCTAACCAGGCTACTGCAGAGGGGGACAGCTGGGGAGTCCTCTCTCTCTCTGCCATAGCACTGAGGCAGTCTGCACCCCAAATACCTCAACCCTGGCTCTTCCCCAGAGCTCTCATCCCCGAGAGCCTTCACCCTGCCACATCCCAACCCTCTGCCATAGCCCAGAGCACGCTCTTGTACCCAAAGCTTGGCCCCGCTACCAGCCAGAGCCTTCACCCTGCCACATCCCAACCCTCTGCCATAGCCCTGAGCACGGTCTTGTACCCAAAGCTTGGCCCCGCTACCAGCCAGAGCCTTCACCCTGCCACATCCCAACCCTCTGCCATAGCCCAGAGCACGCTCTTGTACCCAAAGCTTGGCCCCGCTACCAGCCAGAGCCTTCACCCTGCCACATCCCAACCCTCTGCCATAGCCCAGAGCACGCTCTTGTACCCAAAGCTTGGCCCCGCTACCAGCCAGAGCCTTCACCCTGCCACATCCCAACCCTCTGCCATAGCCCAGAGCACGCTCTTGTACCCAAAGCTTGGCCCCGCTACCAGCCAGAGCCTTCACCCTGCCACATCCCAACCCTCTGCCATAGCCCAGAGCACGCTCTTGTACCCAAAGCTTGGCCCCGCTACCAGCCAGAGCCTTCACCCTGCCACATCCCAACCCTCTGCCATAGCCCAGAGCACGCTCTTGTACCCAAAGCTTGGCCCCGCTACCAGCCAGAGCCTTCACCCTGCCACATCCCAACCCTCTGCCATAGCCCAGAGCACGCTCTTGTACCCAAAGCTTGGCCCCGCTACCAGCCAGAGCCTTCACCCTGCCACATCCCAACCCTCTGCCATAGCCCAGAGCACGCTCTTGTACCCAAAGCTTGGCCCCGCTACCAGCCAGAGCCTTCACCCTGCCACATCCCAACCCTCTGCCATAGCCCTGAGCACGGTCTTGTACCCAAAGCTTGGCCCCGCTACCAGCCAGAGCCTTCACCCTGCCACCTCCCCACATCTATCTTCTGCCTCAGTGCTGAGCCTCTCCCACTCTCTGAAAGCCTCAGCCCCACCCTCACCACACATCATCTCTATATTGGTGCACATAATAAAACATTCCACACATGGCTGTAAAAAATTAGCGGGAACATTGCCAGCAACTATACTGATGGCGTGTGCACATGTGACCTGGCATGGACATGAGCAACACATACGAATGGCCACACTGGGTCAGACCAAAGATCCATGTAGCTCAGTGTTCTGTCATCTGACTGTGGCCAATGCTAGGTGCCCTGGAGGGAGTGAACAGAACAGGGAATCATCAAGTGACCCCTTCCCTGTCGCCCATTCCCAGCTTTTGGCAAACAGAGGCCAAGGACACCGTCCCTGCCTAGCCTGGCTAACAGCCATTGATGGACCTGACATCCATGAATTTATCTAGCTCTTTTTTGAACCCTATTACAATTTTGGCCTTCACAACATCCTCTGACAAAGAGTTCCACAGACTGACTGCGTTGCGTGAAGAAATACTTCCTTTGGTTTGTTTTAAACCTGCTGCCTATTAATTTCATTTGGTGACTCCCTAGTTCTTGTGTTAAGGGGGAGAAAAAATAGCACTTCCGTATCTATTTTCTTCACACTAGTCATGATTTTATAGACAGTATCAACAGTATCTTCCCTTACGTGCCTCTTTTCCAAGTGAAAGAATCCCAGTCATATTAATCTCTCCTCATGAGGAAGCCATTCCATACTCCTCAAAGAACAGATACAGAAGGTTAGTAAACTTTTTGGGGGAGGGGAGCATCTAATTCTTCCTCATGCATTGTAGATGGAGCTGGGCCTCCCGCCCCTCCAGCTCAGGGTGGAGAATTCCACTGCCTAGCATGGCATCTAGATGTATGTACTGTAATGCTAAGTCTAAGGTGAATATTTCCCTGGAGAGACTTGGGAGGTGTCTTTGTAAATAGGGTACTCGCCTGCTCTGTGTACATAGTCACAGGGGCAGCCCATCCATACAGGTGAACTAGGCGGTCGCCTAGGGCACCAAGTTAAATGGGGCACGAAATGATGGTGCAATATCATTGAGGGGTTTGAAGGTGGGGGCGCCGATCGCATGGTTCGCCTAGGGCACCCGTTGGTGGCAGCTAGTCTAGGGCCGCCCCTGCATAGTCAGCAAATGCAGTGGTGTCAAAGTGATTCACTTTGGCTGGTGTTGGGTTCAAATCACATGACGCCTGAATACCAGAGGAGTGGAGTATGGTTACTGATGTAATTATTGAGGCAATACGGAGAAGCAGGACTGGGGTTAACTTAACCCAGTTGAGAGAGGAGACCACATCAGCTGAAAGAACCTTCTTAAGCCTGGGGCTCAAATGTCAGAGCCCTGTGAAAGTAAGAGACGTTGCCCCAGGTATCCCACCACGAAGCTGCAACCCCTTAGCTGGTTTTACCCTCTTGCTCCCTCTCCCACCCCCCACTGTTCAAAGACTAGAGCTGATCCGTTCAACGAGAAGCGCCTTTGTTGTGTTAAATGCTCAGCTCGCGCTGAATCCTTTGGGATGACCCTGCTTCTCCCAGGTTGGCAAGATCTGAAACTCACGGGCAGACTGAGATGTGAGAGCGGAGAGGCAGGTCCTTTGTTGTGTTAAATGCTCAGCTCGCGCTGAATCCTTTGGGATGACCCTGCTTCTCCCAGGTTGGCAAGATCTGAAACTCACGGGCAGACTGAGATGTGAGAGCGGAGAGGCAGGTGGCGGGCCGCCGGGGGAGGGGGGGGGGGG